GGAGAGCGGGCAGGGCTGGCAGAGGGAAGGCTGCAGGAGGTTGTGGGGTTGGGGGAGCCGACTGGCCACTGCAGTGCACACATCAGAGCAACCAGTCATTCCATCATTCTGTTTGCTTGGCTTTTATGTATACAGAAGATTTTATGCTGAATTTACTCATAGGCTATTAGGTGTTTTTTTTTCTACAGTTTTTTCTGGGGTATCTTTTTCTTCTTGCCATCTCCTCTTGTGGTTTAGGAACAATCTGCTCTTTTTCAGTGAGGTTTATCTCAATGTGGCAGGGAGAGCTCATATATAGTTTAATCTTCCAAAGAGTTCAGTAAGTTCGGCATCACCTCTAGGGAGCTCTGTTGTGCTCAATGACCAGAGAATCTATATCTAAACCCTGAAGCTCAGCATTACTCTCTGCATTTTTAAACCTGTGTAGCTAAAATTTGGCACTTTTTGGGCCACAGACCCTGTGCCCAGCCCCACTGTTTGGACTGGACACATCCACCAATTCACCATTTTAATGATGGAATGGCAAACATTACTTCTCTAAATTGACATCCTTCAGATACTTGGTGATTTTTCAGATATGTATACCCTCAATGGCCTGGACAGTTTCACATGTTCTTAAAGTGAACTTAAAAATTTGAACTTTCTAATTTGCATGATTCTGTGGGGTTTTCTGGGTCAAGTGAATAGCGAACAATTTTCAACATGTTGCCTCTGGCTGCTTTCGGAAAGAGCTACTACTTTTTAAATAAACTCTCCTAGTGACCATCACATACACCTCAACCTGAAAATACTGTTTTCAAAGAATGTTACGACATTACAGATAGTTACCAGAGAGAAAATGAAAAAGAAGCTACAAAATAGTATGTATATAATATTCCTACTTTTAATTCTTTTTGCAATATGTTTTTATTGATTTCAAGAGGGAGAGAGAGAGAGAGAGAAACATCAATGTCAAGAAAGAATCACTGATTGGCTGCCTCTGGGTATCAAGCCTAGGCATGTACCCTGACCAGAAATCAAACTCTGACCTCTGGTTCATGCGTCGACTGAGCCATACCGGTAGGGCAAATATTCCTACTCTTAAAAGTCACTTAAAAGCTAACAACCACCATTAATCACAACTATATTCATCAATTATCATCTCTGAGTATGGGATTAGAGATGTCTTTTTTCTTATTTGTATTTTCTATCTTCCTGTGAGTAGTATTTACTACATGTGAACAAAACAATTTACATTCAACAATAAGAATATGAATAATTAGGAAAGTGGTTGAGACTCCCTAGCAATGTTTTAACTAGTTACCTTCCTGAATGAGGAAGAAACTTTCAGTGAAAAATTGTATTTAACATTTAATTTTAAAATATAAAGAAATCCTAACAATTTAGGTATGTCTTCAGATCATCCTATATAATAAAACCCTAGTATGCAAATCAACTGAACAACCGGTCGCTATGACGCGCACTGATCACCAGGGGGCAGACGCTTAACACAGGACCTCTCTTCCTGGCGGAAGCCGGGCTCGTGGCTGGTGAGCACAGCGGCAGTGGAGGGAGCCTCTCTCGCTGGCTTAGGCATGGGGAGCGGGCCTAAGCCAGCAGTCAGACATCCCCTGAGGGGTCCCGGACTGCGAGAGGGCGCAGGCGGGGCTGAGGGACAGCGTCCCCACAGCCCCCCAGTGCATGAATGCCGTGCACCAGGCCTCTAATTCACTATAAAACAGTCAAAATGGAATTAAGACTTGTCAACAAATTTGAGGTAGGGGAAAAAATTCTAAAGAAGCAAAAGATCTGGGTTATAATCTGACCCAATCTCATTTACTAAATTAGGAGCTTTGACAATTATTAAACTTCTCAGGCCTTAGCTGTTTTTTCTATAAAACAGTTAAACATGAAGAAAAATGTGCAGCTCCCTTCCACACACAACCTCCCATCCTCCTTCTTTCTAACAATTTACATACAGGTATGAGTTACCTGAAAGTAATATGGCATTATTTCATAGACTCTAAGGTGCTATTAATAAAAGAAATTATTTTATACACCACTAAGAAAAAAATTTATGCCAACTGATTTTAAGATATATACTGATTCTAAATACATTAAAAATATAAAAGATGAACATCTTAGAATGAATAAAACACAGTAGTAAGTTACTTTAAGGGTATTTACTGTTTCAGGTTGTTAGTTCCACAGATTCCTTGCAAAAGCATTGATTATTGTTGACTCGGTTTCTAAATTAAATTACATTACAAATTGCTCTACTTTTATCTGGGAAGAGCTATTACCTCAGGAAGTCTATAACTGCTGGAAACAGATTCTTATTTCTCAAACTGAATTTAAAGCTCAAATACAAATTACCCTTAACCTTAATAAGTCCTATTAAAAGGAAAAAACAATCTCCTAAGAAAGAAAATACAGTTTGACTTAAAGTCATAATTACTAAGACTAGAGAACTAGAAAACCACTCAGAATTTGTTGCAGAAACACATTCATTTACATTTTTCTTTAGCACATTTTCTCTAAGAAAACCAGCCCTATGATATTTTCTTAAACATCTATGTAAGTAACAGGGTTAACATAAAGTGCCAACTAACCTTATCTTCATTTTGTAGTTTCACATCATATTTGTGAGGCAGAAATTTTGGAGGAGCCCATTTCCTTTCTCCTTTTTTTAATGAAGTAGGGAGTTTTCGTGGAGATCTACGTGCTCTGTCATCTAGTCAAATCATTAGAAAATTAGTGAAAATAAGAATTCTTTTAATTCTATTCATTCATTCATAATTGTCTTATTGAACACCTACTCTGCATCAGGCACTGAATGATAGGGCACCAAGATGATTCATAAAATCCTTACCTGAGCTAGCTAAAGTCTATGGGCAGAGTCAACAATAATTATAATACAATGTGGTAAATATTATTACAGAGGTGGGTACACAAAATAATATAAGGAGAGAGAGCAGCAATGTTTAACTTAGGAAGGTAGGCAGAAAAAGCCTAGAAAGAATATGACTTGTTCAGAGAATGCAAATAATAAGTAAATATAATTGGGACTACAGTAAAAAATCAGACTAAAGAAGTAAGGAGGGCAAACTATAAAGGACCTGTACACCGTTTAAAGAAATTGGAATTTATCTTGTGAGCTCTAGGGAAACAAAGGATTTTTGGTCTAAGTAAGCAGATGCATACTTTCTAAAGATGGCAAAAGAACAGAAAAGGGTTAGGGTTAGGGTCAAGGTTAAGGGAAACTGTGGTATCAAGTAAGTTAAAGGTATAAGGTATGACTGTGACCAACAGTGTAAATGTAACAGAAAAGCAAAACATAGAAGAAATCAGTAGAATTGGCAAGTAGAGGGTCACCTATAATCTTATTAGCAACAGTGTCAGGAGTAAAGAAGCAGAAGTTAGACTATCATAGCACAATAAGTGGAGACAATACCTCATGAATCTTGGTTTGAATGAGTAAGACAGAAATAAAACAACAGAATCAAGGGAGGATATGTTTTTGTTTTTAGAAGATGGGGCTTCATTTATAAATTGAGAAAAATAAACATGAGAGAGGGTTAAAGAACACTGTAGAGTAGAATAAAAGTTAACTCAACCCTAGAGAAAGTAGGAGGAAATGGAATTCAAAGCCAAAGTATTTTAGCTCCCTTCTCAGATGGAAGAATGTAGAAATTTAAAACAGGGAGGTTAAGAACAAGCTGAAAGTTTGTCTAATACATTTTTCCCCATAAAGTAGAATGAAAGGTCACCTAAGTGAGAAAAAATTTAGTATACTGGAATTCGCCTATCATTTCTATGGAAACTCTAATCAATTTTTCCCCTGAAAACACTCAGTAGACATCATAACGCTAATTCTTCAGCCTGTCCACCACCCTTTCCACATACTAGCAATAGTATTATATATATTCCAATAATTAAAAACTAAATTAAGGCATATAACACCATAAAAAACCAAAGCCTAAAACATAGAAGTTCCCTGGTACACGATGCCAAAGTCATAAAATTAACAATTGTTAACATATTGTTGGTAGTTCAAGGATCTGTTTCCAGAAAGTGTTAAAGACATATTATCAGGCAACGCCTAACCAAAAAATTTATTAACATAAGTCATGAGAATAATAAGTAATGAACATATTAGAAAACTTCAGTATCAAAAAGAAGAGAGAAACTGAAAAACATAAACATTACCATTCACAATACAGAGTGGAAAACAAAACTGAAGTATCAACACTGGGGTGAATCAGCTACAACAGTTAAGTATCCTTGGGGAAATTTTAATTAGTTAATTGTTCCCTGGGACTAGATAAGGAAATCCCTCTAAAACACATCTGCATATATCTAAAATATCTGGAAAGACAAAATAGAATGGAAAACAGAGCACAAAGCACTCTAATTCTAATTCAATCTCTGTATGTAACACTTAAAGAAGAGGTTAAGATTATTTGATCCTCTAACAGTCATGGGAAGGGGGGGTCAATATACACAAATCCTTTGAGTATTCATATTTTAAGACAGAAGTAATCTATTACAAATTCTTTTATTTATATAGATTTTTCCCCCCAAATTAAGGTTTCAGAGGCTGAATAATTTTCCCAATGGGCAAAGTCTCAATTGTTCAACTTTTCAAACAGTATTGTTAGAATCGCCAAGTCCCAAAAAATTACTCTTAGATATCATGTTTCAAAATTCTGGCAGCTCCTATGTGGGAGAGACTTGAGTTACAGGATTTAGATAAAAGGAAGTATCTTAAAATTACCACAATTGGCTTGCATGGTGAAAAGTAAGGGAGATTAGAATTTGCCCCTTCTACTCTAACCCCGCTTCTCCACACACAGACATACGTATTTTCCAACTTAAAGAGACAAGGAAAGCAAACTTTCTTTGCCATCTTGAGTAGCTAGGTATGTGCACACAGATTTCTAAGAGGAAATGCCTTCCGAGGGAAGACTTAAATCTTTATTTGCTTTACAGACTTTTCTCTTTTTCTTTTTGGTTAATCCTCACCCATGGATATCTTTTCCATTGATTTTTTTTTAAGAGAGTGAAAGGGAGCTAGGGAGGGAGAGAGAAGGAGAAAGAGAGACAGACAGACAGACATAGACCGGTTTCCTCCTGCATACACCCTGACCAGGGCCGGGGATTGAACCTGTAACCTAGGTACATGCCCTTGACCAGAATGGAACCCAAGACCTTTTGGTGCATGGGGCAATGCTCTAAGCATTGAGTACACCAGCCAAAGCGCTTTATATTTTAATTGTTTGCTGAATCACAAAGAAAGGCATATGTACCTACAAAACTCATTTACAAATCACAAATTACTTGTTAGAGAACTCAAAAAGATTTGTGTATAATAAGAGTCACAAAGGAAAGCTAGCATCATACATACTAATATTCTCTCTCCTTCCTTCATCCTCTTTTACAATTGCCTCCTTCTTCTGGTGCTCCTGAGCAATTTGGCTAGAATTCTCTTTGTCACTTGAGGGAGAATCACAGGCACCATCAGGTTTCTTTTCAGTGGCTTCTTCATCCACTTTCTCCAAAGGATGAATCTTCACAATCCTCACCTTGAGCATTTTTTCCTTCCCAACCTATAAAGGAGACAGGAATGAAAATCAGTGATAATAAATAAAAACTAGAAAACCTAAAGATAATGTTTAGAATATATTAGCCAATATACCTACATTGCACCCCACCTAACAAAACTCACTAAACCTCCAAAGTACCAATCAAGTACAGTGATTTTTTTCCAATTTTATTTCTGACTTCTTGGCTAAAAAATGACATATTACACCCTAGCTAGTTTGGCTCAGTGGATTAACAATCCACCTGTTTACTGAAGAGTTCAGGGTTCAATTCCGGTCAAGGGCACATGCCTGGGTTGCAGGTTCAATCCCCAGTGGGGGGCATGCAGGAGGCAGCCTATCGATGGTTTTCTCTCATCACTGATGTTTCTACTCTCCATTCCTCACCCTTCCTCTCTCTAGAAATCAATAAAAACATACATATTTTTTTAAATGACATATTTCGCCCCTGACTTCATTTCTTCATTCTTTTTCTACAATACCTATGTATTTCTTTTTCTTTATTTTTCAATTAAAGTTAACATTCAATATTATATTAGTTGCAGGTGTATACAGTATAGTGATTAGACATTTACATAATTTACAAAGTGATTCCCTGATAAGTCCAGTACCCACCGGACACCATAATTTTTATTGACTATATTCCCTATGCTGTCCTTTACATAAGTGATTCTGTAACTGTCAATTTGTACTTAAGCCCTTCACCTTTTCCACCCAGTAAAATATGACATCTTAAAAAATAAAATTATCACAATCTAATTTATAACTCATGTACCAATGCACTAAGCCCAAAGGGCAATCACGGCACAAACATCAGACATGTGTAAAATAGTTTAAAATTTTCCATTTAATAAAGAATCTATTATATATATATATGGATATCCAACAATACCAGAACCACTTACTGAAAAAACTGTCTTCTTCACTTAACTACCTTTCAACCCCTACCAAAAATCAAGTGTGTCTCTGTGTGTGTGTGTGTGTCAATTTCTGGATGCTATACTGTTCCACATCTATTTGCTATTGTTATACCAAGTTCACACTATATCAATACTTTAAAATTTGAAGGCTCAAAATCAGACAATATTAGCTTAACTTTCTTGTGCTTCTGCAAAGTTGTTTTGGTTAGTTTTTGGGGTTTTTTTTGTATTTTGAAGTAAATTTTACAATCAGCTTGGCAATTCCTAAAAAAAACTGCTGGGATTTTATTGCAATTGAGTTGCATCTACATTATCAACTTGGGAAGAACTGAACAAGATATACCTCCCCATTATTTAAGGTCTTCTTTAATTTCTCTCAGCAATGTTTTATAATTTTTAGGTATAAGTCATGCGTATCTTTGTCAGGTTTACTCCTAGAGTACTTCATAGTTTTTGATATTGAAATAGTATTTCTTTGTTAAATTTCAAATTGTTTGTTGCTAACACATAGACATAAATACAAACGGGTTTTTTCACATTTATCTTGTATCCTACCACTTATTACTTCTAGAAACTTTTTAAAATATATATATTTTTAATTGATTTCAGAGAGGAAGTGAGAGGGAGAGAAATAGAAACATCAATGAGAATCATTGTTTCCAGAGTGTTAGCATCATCACATGTAAGTGGAGCTGTTAAACTGCAAATTTTTAAAACCTACCCAAAACTTTCTAAACCAAACCCTTAGGGGATAGGGCTCAAGAATGTATATTCAGCCCTAACTGGTTTGGCTCAGTGGCTAGAGCATCGGCCTGCGGACTGAGCAGTCCCAGGTTAGATTCCGGTCAAGGGCATATACCTTGGTTGCGGGCACATCCCCAGTAGGGGGTGTGCAGGAGGCAGCTGATTGATGTTTCTCTCTCTAGGATGTTTCTAACTCTATCCCTCTCCCTTCCTCTCTGTAAAACTCAATAATATATATTTTTTAAAAAAAGAATGTATATTCATAAGTCCTCTAGTGATTTTTTTAAAAGGGAAACATAGAGGATTGATAGACAGACCAGGTTGATAAGATTTTTTCCCTTTTCTAGAGCTGATAATTAACTGGACCCACAAGTTGGCACCTGACATGAGGCTTTATTATCTCCCGGCCTGTAGTAATGGTCATATATTTAAGCCTTCTGGAGAAGAAATATTTCAAGGTCAATTATTCAGCTGCTTGCTGTTGAGCCAGCTATTATTTCCCAAGAAAGGCAGATTGAACAGGATGAAAAGTGTGTAAGAAAAGTGTCCTCGTATCTGCGTACAACTCTCTCAATTTATTTATCTCTTATCTATCCTCAAGTCTGTGTGTGTCGATTTCCTTTTTTCTCTTTGCCTCTTGTTTTCATTTGGTGACCTCATGGCTATTAGTTAAGTATGTTCATCCCCATGTGTATATGTGTATGTGTGAGATTGTCAACCTATGGTGATCATATCAAACTTAAGAATAAAACTCTTATTCAAATTAGGAAAACAGTACCCACTCTTTCTTTTTTAAATAACTCATTTGTTTTGCACTCTCCTTTTTCTTAATTCAAACCTCCTCGTTAGCAACCATCAGCTTGTTCTCTGTATCTGTTTCTGTTGTTTATTCCTTTGTTTCTTTAGATTCCACATATAAGTGAAGTTTTTCTCTGTCTGACTTATTTGATTTAGAATTAATACCTTCTAGGTCGATCTATATTGTCTCAAATGGCAAGATTTCATTCTTTTTTGTTGCTAAATAATATTATCCCATTGTATATATTCACTAGACCATCTTTACCCATTCATCTACTCTAGGTTGCTTTCTGCTATTACTAATAATGCTGCACCGAACATAGGGGTACATATACATTTAGTGTTTTGTTTTCTTAAGATAAACACCCCAAAGTACAATTGCTGGATCATATGGCAACTCTATTTCTAATTTTTGAGGAATCTCCATACTGTTTTCCATAGTGGCTGCACTGATTTCCAATCCCACCAAATAGTATACGAGGGAAAACAAGTAAGAACTGAAAATTACTAGAACTATGATGAAGAAGGCATCAGTTTCTTCTCTCAACAAAGAAATAATTATATCTATACTCGAGTGCATAAAATTCGTGAACGTTGCGGGGAGTCCCTCAGCCTGGCCTGTGCCCTTTTGCAGTCTGGGACCCCTCGGGGGATGTCCAAAGCCCACTCCCCAGGGGGAGTGGACCTAAGCTGACAGACATCCCCTGAGGGGTCCTTAGCACTGCTGCAGAGGCAGGAGATGCTCCCACCATGGCCACTGCACTCACCAGCTGTGAGCCCAGCTTCTGGCTAAGCGGTGCTCCCCGCTGTGAAAGCACACTGACCACCAGGGGGTAGCTCCTGTGTTGAGCATCTGCCCCCTGGTAGTCAGTGCATGTCATAGTGACCGGTCATTCTGCGGTCCTGTCAATTTGCATATTAGCCTTTTATTATATAAGATTGACGACAGCCACTCTGACAGGTGCGAGGCGATATCTCGTTGTTTTAATTTGTATTTCCCTGATGATTAGTGATATTGAGCATATTTTCATATCTGCTGGCCATCTGTAGGTCCTTCTGTGCTTGTTTGTGTTTGTTTTTAAATGTATTTTATTCTTTTATTTATTTTTAAGCTTCATCCAAGGATACTTTTCCATTGATTTTTAGAGAGAGTGAAAGAGAGAGGGAAAGACTGATAGAAACACCAATGTGAGAGAAACATATTGATTAGTTGCCTCCTGCATGAGCCCTGAGCATGGCCCAGGTCGGGGAGGAGCCTGCAACTGAGTATATGCCCTTGATTGGAATCAAACCTGAGACCCATCAGTCTGCAGGCCAACACTCTATCCACTGAGCCAAACAAGCTAGGGTTGTGTGTCCTTTAACAGAAATGTCTGTTAAAGTCTTCTGCCCATTTTTTAATTGGATTGCTTTTTTTTTTGGTGTTAAATTGTGTGAGTTCCTTATATATTTTTAATATTAACCCCTTATGGATGTATCATTTGCGAGTATCTTCTCCCATTAAACAGGCTGTCTTTTCATTTTGTTAATGATTTCCTTTGCTTTGCAAACTCTTCTTAGTTTGATGTAGTCCCATTTGTTTTTTTCGTTTCCCTCTCTTGAAAACATATATCCAGCCCTGGCAAGATAGTCTTCAGTTGATTGGATTATTATCAGGATGCACCAGGGTTATGAGTATGATCCCTAGTTAAGGTACATACAGTAATCAACCCGGCCATGTGCCCTGACTGGGACTGGCGACCTTGGTTCGGTGCTCAAGCACTTAGCAATAATGGCCAGGTGAGTTTATTTTTATATATGGTGTAAGAAAGTAGTCCAATTTCATCTTTTTGCACTGTCTATCATTGCCTCCTTTATTGTAGCTTAATTGACCAAATAAGCAAGGACTTATTTCTGGGCTCTCTATTCTATTTCCTTTTTCATTTGTTAAACTTCACACGAGGAAATTTTTCCCATAAAAGGATGTTGAATTCTGTCAAATGCTTTTTTCTCCATCTACTGAGGTGGTCATATTTTTATACTTTATTAATAAAATCTATTACACTGATTTAGTTATGGATGTTGAGCTAACCTTGCACCCCTGAGATAAATTCCATTTCGTCATAGTATATAATTCTTTTTTAAAAAAATATATTTTATTGATTTTCCACAGAGAGGAAGGGAGAGAGACAGAGAGCCAGAAACATCGATGAGAGAGAAACACAGATCAGCCGCCTCCCGCACATCTCCCACTGGGGCTGCGCCCGCAGCCCAGGCACAAGCCCTTGACCGGAATCGAACCCAGGCCCCCCCAGTCTGCAGGCCGACGCTCCATCCACTGAGCCAAACCGGTTTCGGCAGTATATAATTCTTTTAATGCATTATTGAATCCAGTTTGCTAATATTTTGTTGAAAATTTTTGTATCTATATTCCTTAACAATATTGGCCTGTAAGTTTTCCCTTTTTTGGTAATGTCTTTATCTGGTTTTGGTATCAAGGTAATGCTGGCTTCATAAAATGAGTTTGGAAACATTCCTTCCTCTTCAATATATATATTATTTAATATATTTTTATTGATTTCAGAGAGGAAAGGAAAGGGAGAGATAGAAACATCAATGATGAGAGAATCATTGATTGGCTGCCTCCTGCACACTCCCTACTGGGAATTGAACTTGAAACTTGGGCATGTGCCCTTGGGAATGGAACCAGGGACCTATCGGTCTGCAGGCTGACACTCTATCCACTGAGTAAAACTGGCTAGGGCCTCTTCAATATTTTTAAATAGTTTAAGAATAAGTGATTTTATTTAGGCTAAAGTTTGAGAAGTACTAGCCAGTGTTAGATATTTCATTACATACAGATGAAATCACTCTTAATTCATACAACAATGTAAACAAACCTATTTAATTATCTGAGCCTGTTTACTACCTCAACATTTCTGTGCAGAATCTGTAAGACATGTAAAATGGCTAGCCCAATATTCTAAAATTTGGCCTTTATATTTAATACTAAGTAGAGACTTCATGTAACACAATTTTATACACACAGATATGCATTGAATAATCTATGCTCAAATCCTGATATATGATTAGTGAATCAAATCTCGTATTTTTAAAGAATATAGGAACTTACCTCAAAGTCACACTCTTCTCCCACAGCGTATTTGGTCATGATCTCCAACCAAGCAGTATCTACTAACTTCTCTAAGGAGGCTGTGTTATGGTGAACCATTTCCAGAACAAGTTTCTCATACCAGGCAGGAAACTCTTCCTTCAAACTAAACAAATATGTTATTAATTACCAAGAAAATGCAGAAAAACCTTTCCACAGCTTTAATTCAGGTCAATGCAAACATTTCTTTAGCAAATATACAAGGCACTGGGGAATAAAAAGATTAAAAACAATGTAGTACACAGGAAAAAGAACTTATAAATATCTTTGTCAGACTGACCTTTCCAGGTAAATTTTTTCATACATAAAGTGAAAATAATAGGCACATCATTACTAAAGTTGGGCATTTTTCCATTAATTTGTTTTTTGCAGTAGACGTCCTATTTTAGGTGTGCATTATTTATTTATAGCCTTTTCCCATCTTTTTAGTTAGGATATCATAACACTTGTATTTTTATTATGTCTGAATCAATAATAAGCTTTCATTCATTTAGTTCTCTAGAATTTTCATTTTATAGATAAGGAAAATAAATCAGGAAGTTAACATGATGGAACCATGATTTGAACTCCAATGTCCTTGCAAAGTAAAACCATGATGTACCACTTTTCACTTATTAACCTAACAAAAAAGAATTTTAATGATCATACCCAATATGGGAAAATAAATAGTGCAAAGTAACACTCATATATTGCTGATAGCCTATGTTTCAACTCTTTTAAAAAGCAGTTTGGCCCTGACTGGTTTGGCTCAGTGGATAGAGTGTCGGCTTGCGGACTGAAAGGTCCCAAGTTTGATTCCAGTCAAGGGCATGTACCTTGGTTCCAGGCACATCATCAGTGGGGAGTGTGCAGGAGGCAGCTGATCAATGTTTCTAACTCTCTATCCCTCTCTTCCTCTCTGTAAAAAATCAATAAAATATATATTTTTAAAAAGTAGTTTGAGCCCGGCTGGTGTAGCTCAGTGGATTGAGCTTGGTTATCTCATGGACCAAGAGGTCCCCGGGGTTCGATTCCCAGCCAGGCATATGACTGGATTGCGGGCTTGAGACATGCAGGAGACACCCAACTGATGTGTCTCGCATTGAACACAGTCACTCCCATTCACTTATGTATTATTATCTATGGCTATTTTTACTGTATAACCTCAGAATTAAATAGCTAAGACTAAGACCATACTAACTGACAGTTTATTGAAAAGGGTGGCCAACACCTGGTCTGGTATACTTTAAAAAGGACATATACATAAATAATACTAATCTAAAACAGAACGATGTAAGTGACCCAAGCTAAGGAGAAACAGGCATCAGGTTAACAAACTTGACTAATAATTAGTCCTGGAGCCATAACTAGAACCCAGACCTCAACTACACCCAGTGTTCTGTTACACCAGCAAAAGAGCAGAATTACATGCTCTTTGCTTATGGGTTATCAGGAAAAGTCAGTAAGAAGTCCACAGAAAAAATTTCTATTCCAAATTCCCAAAAGAGTAATTTACATCCCTAGTTTCTATTTACTTTTACATGTTTCTAATGCCCAATTCTGAGTGTTTTCTTTGAGAGAATACCAAAACAAGTAGGCACTTTGAATATAGACAGGAATTTTAAGACTCTTCATTCAGCCCTGGCCGGTGTGGCTGTTGGTTGAAGACTGTCACAAAAGGTCGCATGTTCAATTCCTGGTCAGGGCACTACAGGGGTTGCAGGATCGATCCCCAATAGGGGACGTGTAGGAGGCAGCTGATTGATATTTTTCTCTCTCCCTCTCTCTAAAACTAGTAAGAATGTATTTTTTAAAAAGCAGACTCCTCATTCAACTGCCCCACTTAGATAAATGGTCTTTAAATTGTGTTTATTTTTGGTAGCTGCTGTAAATACTATCTTAAATTTCAAATCATCACAAAATTTAAAAAATCTCTGCTTATTTGCTACCTCCATATTACTTCTAGATTATATTTGTGTCCATTGTTTAGAACCACATTTTCAAAATATTTACAGGATAAAAGTAGAGCAAGAATATTCAAAACCCTGGTAAATTACCTAAAGTATATACATAACTATGTATTCCACATACTTTACTAGCAAAATTCTACTAAGCAAAGGCACTTAGACACTAATACAGTATACTAATGTAACAATTCCAATTTATGCCCCATAAAATTGTTTCCCCCATAAATTTTAATATAAATATTGCTTTATTTTCTATGACCCCTTTCCTAATAATGTGAAGATGGTGCTAGAATAGCAATGTTTATATTACTCACAGTTCAGCAACTTCCTGTTCCTCCTCCCAGGCCTCCTTGTGTGTTAGCTGACTACTTCCGGTACTCTTACATGTCCAAATGCGTTCACTGTACCTCTCCAAGCGGGCTTCATACTCTCTGTTAGCAGTGGCTCAGGAAAACAATATTCAAGCAACAGAGACAACTAATCCATATTCATAAAATACTTAATTATATATAGAAAAAAACCTACAGTATCTTTTCTATGACATACATATTGAGAAGATAAAATTGAAGTTAGTTTTCAATTGGTGAATCCAAACAAGACGATTAAGACTGAAGTATGGCCAGAATAGTTTGTCGCACTTTGCAAATAAAACATGTATAATTTAGTACAAATGTGATTTCTTCAATTCATAATTTTAGTACTCAAACAGTACTAAAAATGCGTAAGAAAAATATAAAGGCAAAAAACCAAAATTTCCAATTTATTGAGAGAAAAATAAAGATTTGGGAATTGTAAGAAAAAAAGGGTAAAACAAGACAAAAAGTCATAAGAATAGAATTTAAAGTCTGTGGAGTTATTACACAACTAGAGGCCCAGTGCACAAATCTGTTCACGGGTGGGGTCCCTCGGCCTGGTCAGTGATCAGGGCCAATCAAGAGGGCGGGAGGTTGGCTGGGGGGAGGAGCCAGAGGAGGTTGGCTGGCCAGGGGGAGGGGCCGCAGGAGGTTGGCTGTGGGAGCGCACTGACCACCAGGGGGCAGCTCCTGCATTGAGCGTCTGCCCCCTGGTGGTCAGTGCGCATCATAGCAACCGGTTATTCGGGAACTTAGGCATATAGATATAGATATAGATATAGATATAGATGGTCATCAAGTTTAAGAATCAGTTTCACAGGAAGATGAGATGACTACACCAGTCTCACAGACAGTCTGAAATAACCTTGTGCATCTAATGATCCATTTACTAAAAGATTGGAAGTTTTTAGTACCTTAGGAACATCTATTGTATCTTAGGGTTTTAAAAATTCCATAAAAATCCTGAAAATAATTTTGATATAATATCTATCAAGTCTTTATGTTATCTACAATAACAATACAATCACCAGTCACTTAGCAGTCTCTGTTCAGTCTTTATGAGATGAAAAGCACATCACAGGTTAGTGCCATGTATATAACGTTCTACAACATCCCAACAGGAATTCACTATCGGCCAGCTATGTTCAAATTCAAAAAGTAGCTAATTTACTTTTATGCACAGCAACAGATGCTATGCTAGCAAATAAACTGATGCCAACTAGAGAATTCTCTGCCAATCTCTGTACTAGGTGCACTGTTTAATAACAGCGGATTTTGTAATCAAATAAACACGTAATTTCAAGAGAAACGTCAAAAGTGCTTTATTCAAAGTAATGTCCATCACTAGCTACACATTTCCCCCATCTTTCAGGTAATTTGCAGATACCGTTCCAATAGAACTTTTCTTGTTTTGAGGCAAACCATTCAGAGACCCAATTTTCCACTTCTTCTTGCGTTTTGAAGTGCTGCTCAGAAAGTGTGCCATCAATTGGAACAAGTGGTAACCTGAAGGAGCAAGATCTGGTGAACATGGTGGGTGGGTTAATACTTTCCAGGCAAGATCTTTTAACGTGTCTTTAACTGGTTTTGAAGTGTGTAATGGTGCCTTATCATGAAGCAAAATTACTTTCCGTGTCTTCTGGCACATTCTGGTCATTTCACAATCAAAGCGTGGTTCAAATTATTTGTTGTCAGTAGCGATCAGTATTCACGGTTTCACCTGGTTTTAGAACCTCATAATACACCACACGTTCCTGATCCCATCAAACACAGAGCATTGTCTTCTTTCCAAAGCGATTTGGCCTTGCAGTCGATGTTGATGGTTGACCTGGATCATCTCATGATTTTGTGCATTTGGGATTCTCAAAATGAATCCACTTTTCATCGCCAGTCACAATTCGATGCAAAAAAGACTTTTTTTCATGCTGTTGAAGCAACATTTTACTGTGACTTTTTGGTTTTCCATTTGTCTTTCATTCAGTTGATAAGGCACCCATTTTCCCTCCTTTAAAATCTTTCCCACTGCTTGTAAACGATCAGAAATTATTTGCTGAGCAATGTTTAATCTCTCTGCAAGTTGTTTTTGAGTTTGACACACATCTTCGTCCAATAATGCTTGTAATTGCTGGTCTTCACTTCTTCAAAATAATGAATTAAAACTTCCCGCAAATGCTCTTTTTTTGGCACAAAATTCGACAATTTTAAGCTCTATGATAATACCTTCAGCGAATGTGACATGAAGTTTTAAGTTTGCTGTCAATACAAAATAGCATGCATATCAAATCGCATATGTATCAACATGTGTAACTCCATCTACTGAAAAAAAATCCGCATTATTAACTGGTACATCTAGTACAAGTTACTTTATTTTATAGCGGTTGAAATAAAAGTTTTTTAAAAGCTCCCTCTGAGATACTAACTAACAACTAAACAAATAATTTCCTTTTTAATATATGAAGATTCTTGCCCTAACCGGTTTGGCTCAGTGGATAGAGTGTTGGCCTGAGGACTCAAGGGTCCCAGGTTCGATTCCGGTCAAGGGCATGTACCTTGGTTGTGGGCACATACCCAGTAAGGAGTGTGCAGGAGGCAGTTGATCGATGTTTCTCTCTCATTGATGTTTCTAACTCTCTATCCCTCTCCCTTCCTCTCTGTAAAAAAAATCAATAAAAAATATAATATATTTATATGAATATTCTTGGTTTTCTAGGATTATGATCAATAACAAGGCAAGCAACAGGGACAAAACCACAGAGAATCCAAAATAGTAGTTTTAACCATCTGACAAAAATGAAGCAGCAAATCTATTTCCCTCGATGGGGATGATGCTAATACTTAAAGGATTAAACAAAATACAGTAACATTAAAAACCACGAGTCAGACTTCAATCTTATATAATAAAACCCTAATATGCAAATTGACCAAACAGTGGAACAACTGGTCACTGTAATGTGCACTGACCACCAGGGGCAGACCCTCAATGCGGGGCGGTGCCAGGCTGCCAGCCAAGGTGATCTCCCCACCCACTGGTCGCCCCACAGATGGCCCTGATCGCTGGCCAGGCCTAGGGATCCTACCCTATATATTGGGAATAGTCTCCTAGGTTTAAAAATTATAACCTGGCAAGGCTACTCCAACACTGAAAAAACAGGATGACGCAATGACATGCATGGACTCTGGCTTGCATTTTGTGGTTAGCCCTGATTCTGACCCTTATAACTGTGTAACACAGCCAATTACTTAACTTCTCTCTGCTTCAGTTTTTCCACCCATAAAATGGGGGAAATGGTACTACTGCCTCAGAAGGATACTACTTTTTATAATCAGAGCAAAAAAAAATGTAGTTACCCATTTAACAGCAAGATGCCTTTCACCTGTATGAAAAGTATGGTAATTGGCACATGCAGTGTCCTGGATTGCAGGGGATGTCCGACTGCCGGTTTAGGCCCAACATCCTCCAAGGGGTCCGGGATTGTGAGAGGATGCAGGCCGGGCTGAAGGACACCCCCTCCACCCCTGTGCTGAATTTCATGCACTGAGCCTCTAGTATAGTCATAAAAAGACAACCACTGAAAATGTATAAAAACTTATAGTCCCCTTTAGCTGTTTTGCTCTCACTTCAGTTACCCAGTCAAACACAGTTCAAAAATATTAAGTGGAAAATCCCAGAAATAAATAATTTATGTTTTAAATCTTGTGCCATCCCATTCTATGAACCATCCCTTTGCCCAGCATATTCAGGCTGTATACGCTACCTAAGTGATAGTCACTTAGTAGCCAGCTGTTATCCAATGGATCATTATGGTTATCTGAGTGCTTGTGTTCAAATAACTTTAATTTTACTTATTAATGGCCCCAAAGCACCAACAGTAATGTTACTGGCAAATCAGATATGCCAAAAAGAAGCCTTAGACTTTATCAAGATATATATATATATATACATACACACACACACAAAAAAAGCATGATATATATAGGGTTCAGTACTGTTTCAATATTTCGGTACTTTTTCAAATACAGTATTGGGGGGGTCTTGGAACTTATCCCCTATGGGTAGGGTGAACTACAGTAAAGAAAAAAAAGCAATAGTATGGCTTCTATTATCATAACTATAATGGTATTTTTATATCATAACTAACAAGATGGACGTTTTATTTTTGTTTGCCTGTCTGCACTTGGGGAGTGAAGGTAAAATAAAGACAATCAGTAAGTGAATTTATTTAAACAAAATGTTTAGCAATTTAATAGTTACTTAGCAACATTGAAGAAATTCACTGAGAAATCAGGGAGAATGTAAGTGATATTAACAAATATATCCTAAAGAGAGAACACTGTCCTAGCTGGTGTGGCTCAGGTGGTTGGAGCATCATCCCATACACCAGTGATGGCGAACCTATGACACGCGTGTCAGAGGTGACATGCGAACTCATTTTTTTGGTTGATTTTTCTTTGTTAAATGGCATTTAAATATATAAAACACATATCAAAAATATAAGTCTTGCCGAACCGGTTTGGCTCAGTGGATAGAGCATCGGCCTGTGGACTGAAGGGTCCCAGGTTCGATTCCGGTCAAGGGCATGTACTTGGTTGCGGGCACAACCCCGGTGGGGGGCGTGCAGAAGGCAGCTGATCTGTCTCTGTCATCGATGTTTCTGGCTCTCTATCCCTCTCCCTTCTTCTCTGTAAAAAAATCAATAAATTTCTATATGTGACACGGCAACAGAGTTAAGTTAGGGTTTTTCAAAATGCTGACACGCTGAGCTCAAAAGGTTCGACATCACTGCCATACACCAAAAACTTGTGGGTTTGATTCCTAGTCAGGGTGTGGTATATAGGGAGACAACTGATCAATGTTTCTCTCACATTGATGTTTCTCTCTCTCTGTCTCTCACTCTTCCTTCCCTTCTAAAATCAATAAGCACGTCCTCGGATGAGGATTAAAAAAAAGAGAGAGAACATTTTCTTTTATTAGTTATTTTTAAAAGTAGGAATAATGTGCCCAGTCCAGTCTTCTTGATCTAGACCAGAGGTGGGGAACATGTGGCCCGGGGTCATGTAACGTCCACCCATAAAATCATTAGGTCTGACCCTTCCAAGGCATAGGGGTGAGTTAATTAAATGTTTGATCAAAGCCCTAGCCCAGTGACAGCAAATCTTTTGAGCTTGGCGTGTCAGCATTTTGAAAAACCCTAACTTAACTCTGGTGCCGTGTCAGGTATAGAAATTTTTTTGATATTTGCAACCATAGTAAAACAAAGATGTATATTTTTGATATTTACTTTATATATTTAAATGCCATTTAAGAAAGAAAAATGAACCAAAAAAATGAGTTTGCGTGTCACCTCTGACATGGGTGTCATAGGTTCGCCATCACTGCCCTAGCCAGTTTGGCTCAGTGGACAGTGTTGACCTGCGGACTGAAGGGTCCCGGGTTCAATTCCAGTCAAAGGCACGTACCTCAGATGCAGGTTCCTCCCTGACCCAGGCCCTGGTCAGGGTTCATGTTTCTTGATATTTCTGTCTTTCCCCCTCTCTTCTACTCTCTCAAAAAAAATAAAAATGGAAAAATATCCTTGGGTGAGGATTAAAAACAAAAAATATTTGGGAAGTAGTACCTGATAGAGAAAGTGAGCAGTGGTGGCCGCTGGTTGTGCAGCAGGGCATGAGACGGAAAAAAAAAGATTCTCCTTGGTCTTCTCATTTACAGGTTAAGGCTACCTTTCCAGATAGTCCAATAGCTAAGTCACCAGTTTCCAAGAGCATTTGCACCACTTATGGAAAACGCTGGATCCATGCACACCAGATGTCCTTGACGACTCATCCCACCATCCCCTGCACAAAATTTGCTGCACCAGAAGACTATGAAGCCAACCACTGAGCTTCTTTTCATTACCAATCCTATAATATCCTATATACTAAAGATGTAATATGCAAATGGTCATTATGCCTTGCAGCATGACGACCGACCTATAACAACCGGATCACGGATCAGCAGGAGGGTGGAGCAGCGAGCTACAAGTGGGCAGCGGAGAGCTACAGGAGGGGGCAGAGTAGCAAGCTATGGGGGGAAGGGGGACAGGGGGCGGAGAGCTACAGGAGGGCAGCAGCGAGCTACTGGCGCACAGATTCATGCGCAGGGCTACTAGTTAGATATAATATCCCTGACAACAAAACAGAGGACACAAGTGTTTCTTCACAGTATCACGGCCAGTTGAGATCACGCTAAAAAAAATCCGCTTGCCTACATGAGGACCCCTTCTCTTCTTGGGTAGCCAGGACTTAAAGGAGAGACTCTGACCTAAGCCACGGGGAGCCTTTCCCCAACTCTGTGACTGAATAAACCAATAGCTTTGTACATGTAAAAAAAAAAAAGTTTGACCAAACATAAGAAGTTAATTTTTAAGTTGATAATTTTGTATGGTCCATGAATGTTATAAATATACAAATGGCCCTCCTGATCAAGACCTATATAGTCAACAACATAGCAGTACCACCTAGATACCTCATAATACCTCAAACCCAACTGTTTCTAAACTAAATTCTTATTACCCCACCTCATCCTCCTCCTAAACTTGCTACTTTAACAGATAATTCCAGTCTCACTGAATGGCCCTAGTGCCCTAATCAGAAATGAGGGAATCATCATTTCTTCAGTACCCAACTGCAGCCACTTACACATTTCTCGTCAGTCCTTGCCAATAGCAAACAGAGCCATTAACAAATTCAGCCTCTGATCTTCATTTCTCACCCAGGCAAAATATTTTAATTGGCTACACTGGTAATCCTCTTTTCTGGTGCTTCTCACCCTAACATCCTTTTTTCTCAATCTTGCTTGTTTTTAAACCCATTTCTTCTGATTACTTTAAAAACTAAGTTGGTTCAAATATCGTCCCAATACCCGAAAGTTGTGGGTTCGATGCTCAGGGCACATACAAAAATCAACCAGTGAATGCAGAAATAAGTGGAACAAATCGATGTTTCTCTCTCGTCCTCCCCCTTTCTCTAACTCATCTTTTTAAACATATATTCTTATTGATTTCAGAGCCAGGAAGGGAGATAGAAACATCAATGATGAGAATCACTGATCCGCTACCTCCTACACACCTCCTGCTGGGGATCATGCCTGAAATCTGGTCATGTTCTCTGACAGGTAATCAAATTGGAGCTTCCTGGTTCATGGGTCAACACTCAACCAGTGAGCCATACCAGCTGGGCTCTAAAATCAATTTTTCTTTAAAAGGCTAAAACTAAAATACCTACAACATGCCTTAACAATGGGTATTTTTAAATTTATATAATTTTGTTCTGGTTATTATTCTGACTAATGTTCAAAGAAAGCAAGAGGAAAAAATGAAAATGAAAGGAGAAAAGGCTGACTAGAAGGATATTCAGACAGCTGCCTCTAAATCCTATTTCAGATTTTAGGTTACCAAAATAAGTCACTCACTCTCAAATAACCATTCAGAGCAAATGCCAATTGATGTTTTTTATGTTCCAGCTACTGCTGCACATATAATTGCAGAGAAAATGTCAATGCAGTTCTCCAAAGGTTGTATAAACTATAAATGATAAGATATTTTCAAGTCCTAGACTATCTCATTATGCATCTCCTTTTCATGAGTTCAAGGGCTACCTCTCCCTACAATATGCTGCTTCTTTGTTCTTTCGCCTTGTAAGAATCGTTTCTCTCAATAAAGTACTTGAGCCCTGACCAGTCTGGCTTAGTGGTTAAAGCCTCAGCCCACAAAGGGTCTTGAGTTCAATTCCTGATCAAGAGAACATACATTGGTTAGAGGTTCCCCAGCCCTGGCAAGGGCGCTTGTGGAAGGCATGTCTCTCTCATGATATTTCTCTCCCTCCCCCACCTTCCACTCTCTCTAGGAATCAATGGGAAAAATATCCTCAGGTGAGGATTAAAACAAACAAACAAATAAATAAATTGAGTGAGTGAGGGAGTGAGTGAGAGAAGGAAGAAAGGAAGGAAGGATTTGATAGCCTGAAAGGAAGTGGCCCAGAAAAGTATGGAGGTTAAATAAGCACAACTATAACCCTAAGAGTTCTAAGTGAGATGACAAAGTACCAAGTCAAGATTTGCTTTTTATCCTATATTTTTCTCTTTGGACTAGTTTGTCATTATGTTAAAAATAACTCTAGCCGGAGTTGCTCAGTGGTGAGAGTGTAGAGTGTCTGTCCAAGCACCAAAGGGTCACAGGCTCGATCCCCAGACCCACCAGAGTGGGAGGCAACCAACAGATGTCTCTCTCTCACATTGATGTCTCCCTCTCTCTCTCCCTTTCCCCTTCCACCTTTTCTAAAAGTCAAGAGAATGCCCGGCTGGCATGGCTCAGTGGTTGACCTATGAACCAGGAGGTCAGGGTTCGATTCCCAGTCGGGGCACATGCCCGAGTTGCTGGCTTGATCCCTGGTATGGAGCATGCAGAAGGCAGCTGATCAATGATTCTCATCATTAATGTTTCTATCTTTTTCTCCCTTTCCCTCTTGAAATCAATAAAAGAAACATATGTAAAAAATCAGTCAATAGAAAAATAAAAATAGTAACTCTAGCCCTGGGCAGTGTGTCTCAGTTGGTTGGAGCATTGTCCCATACACCAAAAGGTGGTAGGTTCGATTCCCAATCAGGGCACATACCCAGGTTTTTAGGATCCCTAGCCAGGATTCATTCAGGAGGTAACCCATAAATGTCTCTGTCTCTCTCTTCCTCCCTCCCTTCCTCTAATAAAATAAATCACTCTAATGTCGTATAGCTTGTTACTTTAAAGAAATTAAATTATAGGAGTTAACATAAGAGCTCAGTATTCCACTGTCCAATGAGAGCCTGTCTTGCAACTCCAACTCTTAAAACATGCTCTAGCCCCATTTGTATACTCAGTGATTGAGAGTTGACTTGTAAACCAGGTCACTGGTTTGATTCCCAATCAGGGCACCTGCCCAGGTTGCAGGCTCAATCCCCAGTAGGGGGCGTGCAGGAGGATTCTCTCCCATCATAGATATTTCTAGCCTTCTCTCCCGCTCTCCCTTCCTCTCTCTGAAAAACAAACAAACAAACAAACAAAAAACGCAACATGCTCTAGTCATGGTTTTCCAGGCAAGCAAGTTATTCTGGCCATATTCTAATAGTCCTTCCTCATTACACCAGCTAAAAGTTCTCATATATTGATGCAGCAAAAAATGAATAACCCCAGTTGTTTCTAGGCTTTAGAAACTAAGATAGTTAAAGCAATACAACAAAAATATTAACCTACAACAGGCTGCTTGGAGGTTCAGTTCCTCCTTAAAACCCACCTTGACTTAAATACAGTCAATGTAACATACTACTGTCAAATAATCACATCAAGAATTGATTCTGACAGACCCTGGCCGGGTAGCTGAGTTTGTAAAGCATCGTCCCCATAAGCCAAGATTGCTGGTTCCATCCCCAGTCAGGGTGCATACAAGAATCAAATGAAATGGTGATGGAAAAAGACATGACTTGGGTGATGATCACACAATACAATACAGAGATGATGTATTATAGAATTGCACACCTTAAATCTATATAATTTTATTAACGAATATAACCCAAGTAAATTCAATAAAAAATAGAAAATTAAAAAGAAAAAGAATCAACCCAGCTGGTGTGGCTCAGTGGTTAAGCGTTCAATTCCAGGTCAGGACACACACCCAGATTGCAGGCTTGATCCCCAGTAGGAGGCATGTAGGAGGCAGCCGGTCAATGATTCTCTCTCATCATTGATGTTTCTCTCTCTCCCTCTCCCTTCCTCTCTGAAATCAATAAAAAAATACATTTTTTCTAATCAAGCAATGAGTGCGTGAATGGGTGGAGCAACAAATCAATGTCTCTCTCCCTCTGTCTCTCTTTAAAATCAGTAAGTAAATTAACTAAAAGTATTCTGATAAAGTTAATTTTCCCAACTAAGATTTTCCCAACTACTGTCCTGCCTGAAGTACTTCAGTAGGGAGTTACGTAGCACAGATTCAAAGACACAGTAAAAAAAACATAATCATCAATATAAACACCCAGCCATTAAATCTGTGCATCACTCACAACTACCACTGTAAATTTGATTAAGATGTATAATAATGCTTTTAAGAACATACCAACACTCACAGCTTTAAGTCAATAAATCATATAAATTTGTTATAAAATATATGTGTAATCAAAAGGTAGTACTTAGAAGAAAACTACTCAAATCCTATTAAAAACATAATTATAAACATATATTAAGAACTGGAAATAACAGTATCTCAAATGCAGCTGAAACCCAACCACGTACTTGTTCTCCTCTAAGAAATCCCTAATAGCCTAATAAAGAAATATCAACTTTTTTTATGCCAACCAGCTGAACACAAAATACAATAGTTTAAAAACTCTCCTAAAGTGCTTCCACTGTAGACACTCACAAGTGGGCAATATACCCCCAATATGTAACACAATTTATGAATTCCTTTGTTAAAAGGGTTCTACAAATACTGGTAAGGGAATTTTTTATTAAACACATACCATTGTTTCAACCTTCAGTTTTTAAAAGGAACACTTCATATTTATCATTATATTTCAAAGATTTTAGTAAATTATATGAAAAAGCCTGTGCTGCCAGTTCTAAAGTAGCTAGTCACAGCCACTTTTACATGGCTCAGTACTTAAAGGACTTAGAATTTGTCTCTTCTCTATCATGTTTCTTGTACTCCTGTAGAATCATACCTGAAAAATTAACATCTGATAATATTCGTGTGAGGAATCAACTGCTCAAAAGATGACATTTGAAAAGGATATGGCAGATTCCCACAAGTAATTTTTCACTCTATCAATGTCTGGTATGTTGTTTATTTTAAAAGTAGGGCAACCTTAGAAGAATATTATATTTAGTAGAACTCAGTACTTCTCCAAGCAATCTGAAAGTCTTAACAGGACAATAAGAAGAACCAGATTAGGATCCCCACCCCTCCCTTAAATGGACCTTATCCTTTTTTTAAAATATATTTTATTGATTTTTTACAGAGAGGAAGGGAGAGGAATAGAGAGTTAGAAACATCGATGAGAAAGATCGATCAGCTGCCTCCTGCACACCCCCAACGGCATGTGCCTGCAACCAAGGTACATGCCCTTGACCAGAATCGAAGCTGGGACCCTTCAGTCCACAGGCTGACTCTCTATCCACTGAGCCAAACTGGTGAGGGCATGGACCTTATCTTATGCCACAAACTGACACAAAAGCGGACTAACATCATTAAAAAGGAGTATCATTCCATGGTTTTAACTTAGGTACAGGGATAAGGTAGGAAAAGCACTGGATTCTAGTCCTGACTCTCATCATTTACAGTGTGTGTCAATCTCAATTCTCTGGGACACTGTCAAAGCAGGCAGGAGAACCTAAACATTTCCAAGACTCATTCAGCTCTAAGATGCTATAATTATATTTCAAGAGCCTTCCTACAGCATGGACTCACTTTCCAGGTTTCTTTTTATATATAAACACCCAATAGTCACAAACTGCAATCAAACACAAATGAAATTATCCTGTAAATTATTACATTAGCCCTGGCCGGGTGGCTCAGTTAGTTGGAGCGTTTCTCTGGTACACCAAAAGGTGTCGGGGTTCCTATTCAGGTCAAGGCACATACCTAGGCTACAATTGATCCCTAGTACCTACCGGCACA